AAAAAAAAATTAAATTAAAAAATTGAGCATTAATGGTACTTCTCAAAATATCTTGAGTATAGAACGCCAATGTATTAAAACCACTGCCGTTTACTGTAGCACTATTTATAATAGTTTCCATGATATATGGAAAAAACCTAAATGTTTCAAAATATATGGGTGGATCAAGATGATGTGGTATATATGCACAATGGAATACTACTCAGCAATCAAAAAACATAAACTTCCATTTGTGCCCACACAAATGGACAGAGCTGGAAGGGTTAATGCTAAGGGAAATAAGTCAGAAGGAAAAAGAAAGCTATTAGATGGTTTCACTTATATGTAGAATACAGAAAAATGAAAGGGTTACATAAAGAAAAAACAAGCTGATCATAAGATAGGAGGCATCCTAGGGGTGTGAGGAAAGGTGGGAGGGGGAAAAGTTGGGGAGAGAACAAGGGAATACAGTAATGGACTATGGGTGCTTTGGTAGTGGGAGAACTACAGTGACCACAACTGAAGGGAGATATTCTATACGATTCAAAAATTAAATGAAATTTAAAAATAAACCATTATCCCAAAACAAGCCAAAGGCATTATTATCTAAGCTATAACTATGGATAAAGATACTGTCTCATGATTTCTAAAGAGCAATGTATTTCATATATTTTACAGGGTTTTATAATTTGCAAAATACAGATAAACTTCTTTGTATCTCTATAACAATATGACTAACTAAGTAGACAACATAATTAATAAAATTCACATTTTATATAAAGAAAAAACTTCAGGGATAAAGTAAGTCAACTGCCTGTAGCTCTACATGCTTACTACTCGATTAAAATTTTTTAATTAATATTCTTTCTAATTTATGTTCAAAATACAAAATTAGAAAAACTGAAAAAAGTCAATCATCATAATTCTTCTAGCCAGATAGAAATAGTTAATCTCTTGAATTTCCTTTCCCTTTTTTCAAGCACATGAATTAAGAAATAGATTTTACACAAATGTGACCACACTCTATACATGTAATTTCTTGTTTGTTTATACTTGATACCATAACTAGAACTTTTTACATTCTGCCTCGTTTAGGGGAGGCATAAAAAAAGAAAAACTTTAAACCTTTGTTGTGTTTGCTTTTCTGTTAGCCATTTCTCTAGCCTACTTTCCCTAAAGTGCTAAGAACATAAGTAATATTAAAATGTTAATACAACATTTATGTAACACTAACAATAAGCCAAACACTATTCTAGTTGCATATTTGGGGATGCATGTTTATATATGAATTTGTGTATATGTCTTGCATGTATGTGTGAGACTACTCTAAAATCTATATAACCCATTGTAAGAAATGAATGATACAGATAAATGGACTGCCATGAAGACTTCAGATTACTGTACTCTCAAATTGATCTACAATGACTGCAATTTCTGAGAAGAAAGTGATAAGCCAATTTTAAAACTCATGTGGACAATCAAGAGACCCAGAATAGCCAAAATAATCTTCAAAAGAAAAAGTTGGAAAACTCATATTTCCCAATATCAAAAGGTACTACAAAGCAATAATAAAAGTGGGGTGATGAAATAAGAGAAGACTACAAATCAATGGAATAGATTTCAGAATATAGAAATAAACCCACACATTCATTTACGGTAAATTAATTTCTGAAAAGGCTTAACAAAACAAATCATTAGGTAAGGAACATTCTTTCAACCAAAATAGTTAGGACAAGTGGATATCTACACACAATAGTATGAAACTGGATCCCAACTCCATACCACATATAAAAACTAATTTGAAATTACTAAAAACCAATATATGCAAGAGATAAAATTATAAAACTCCTAAAGAAAACATGAAAATCGATATGATTTTGGACTTGGCAATAATTTCTTATATCTGATACCAAACATACAAGCAACAAAGAAAAAGTTGGACATCACCAAATAGTATAGTGTCCATGATACTACTCAAAAGTGAAAAGAATCTCCTTAATGGCACAAGGGTTTAATTCTCAGCACTATGAAGCTATCTGCAGCCACTGTAGCACAAGTTCAATTCCTGGCCAGGGGGGTGACCCACATTGTGCAGCATAACTCTCCTATCTCACCCACTGCTCCCGCAGTAGTACATCTGCCTATTCTGCTCTCTACTCTGTCTCTGATGAATCTTCTCATTCCTCCCACCTCTGGCCTACACCCCAGCTCTTGTATGCATAATTTAATACATCTTTTAAAAAAAAGTGAAAAGATAATCTACAGAATGTAAGAAATATTTGCAAGTCATATCTAATAAGAGTCTACTATCCATAAAATATAAAGCATTCTTATAATTCAAAGGCAGCCTACTTTATAAATAAGTAAAGGGTTTGAAAAGACATTTGTCCTAAGATATA